TTTTGAGAATCATTTACAGTCGGACCACGTCGGACAAGCAATTTCAAGTCCCCGAGAGACAGAAATCAGACCATCTGGACTTCTCTACCTTCTTCCGACGTCCCTGGCACCCACTCCGACCCACTCCGACTATACGTGGTTTTCTGAATTGATGGTCTATCGATCTGCAAGCGGCTGGAAGGTGTAGGCCGAGTTGATGCATTAACCTTTTGTGGGCAGTTTTGATGAATCTCGGTGATTCTATTGGCTCAGAGCTGCTCGGCTAAATTCGAGCAGGAGCAAATACACTCTAATGAGTCAGCTATGTTTTGAGTAATTACGCAAAATCCGCCACTCAATTTTTGTCATCGCAACGAATATGGGCGTTCATCCTATGTACCACCCTCTCGAATCATACGGGTGACTACCGATGAGCCCCAATGTTATCGGAAATCTCTGTGCGGATGTGAGCATGGATTGTGTCCATTCCAACTTGAACTCGGGTGGTCAAGTCGGTTGCTAATGACCCTGACCTAGCCCGGAGAGCCTGTGAGCGCTCCGACACTCGTCACTGTGATCCCGATTATTAACCATGACTGGCGGTGATTTGCATCCAATGAGCGAGCGAACGGACGAGCTATGCGCTGGGCCTTTATGTGCAACACCTGTCCGTGAATTTGCGGGTACAGCGTTCAGCGTTCCCTTGTGCCATTCGTACGGGGATTGAACCATGATATTGTTGAAATTTGCTTGTGCAGGATCCTCGGAGGAAGTTCACGTCTGCTGCTGACTGCTATATCCGCGTAGCTGTTTGCTGAATATACCTTCTCTATGAGACAGCAGTCTCCTACGAGAAATTACCGAGTCGCATACCTCTTACAATATAGTGGTGAGCAAACATCTTGAGTATCTCTTATACTAATTGCGTTTCCCGCCATATATAGATAAGTCGGATGTATAAAAAGACGTTGGGCACTCGAAAGGTTCGCTAACTGCCCGCACATTGCAGCCTCGCGACGTGTATTCTTATCAAGGCCCTCTGGACCCGCAAGGACCCAAGCGGCACTTACAACACATGCTCCACGAAGTGAACGTTTCAGCCGATGGTATCACTCGGGCGCTCAACGTTCCACTGGATAACTACGTTCTTTCCGGCGAACCGGCTGCAAAACTTCCCGCTCACTGAGCAACTGGCCGAAATATCATCCACGCTGTAGAAGTCTTCGTGAAACAAGCATATTCTCCCGGGAAACTTCGGGGCTCAACCATGACATTATTGCGCAAAATCCATTGGAAACGACAAGAGGAGTCGAAGTGACCTGGTATTTACGTTCTGTCGTTCGAAACACCCTCTTACGGTCATTAATTTCTAAGGCAGTTACTCCGCCCTGTGTATATTGTGAATCTCAGGTGGGTACCTCCTAAGTTTTCTATTGCACAGTATCCCAGACCTCCGTATGAAGCGTCTATACACAGGATGCTCAGTGAATCTAAGGCGGCTACGGTGAACACGGTCATGTGCAACAAGAATTGTAGACACTTCCGCGATATCGACTAGGAAAGACGTGAGAGACGATGTCTTGCTGGCGAGTCTTCGTACCTTTGGCATGGTATATGAATCCATGACGGCGCCGCCTGCCGTAGCCACTGAAGTGCGCAGTTTTCATAAGATTGAACTCAACTCCATGCGGTATCGGTGCGTTTTACAGTTGAGACTGCAGCTCCGCGCTATTCAAGGCCGCTGAGCATAAATACGTTTGAGGGGGATGCAGCTGGCACTACACTATCCGCAATGGCAAAGTCGCATGCAAGTTTGGAGCTCCAGAGTCTCTCTTCCTCTGCTGCTACCTTACCTGGGGAAGTCGTTAATTCTTTTGCTACCTCTACTATCTACACTGTCCCCGCATGCACTATCGGCCAAGAATACTCGACCTGGATTCACCCCAACGGCTGGCAGTACTTCCAGTACAAACTTCAAGGCAACAGTATCATCACGCATGTCGATCCACGGCTCAAGATGCATGGCGAAAAGACACTCGAGCCTTACGTCCGGAAACTTGAACCTTTCCCCGATGAGAACTATGAAATAGGTTTGAGCGAAGGAAAGGATGGTACTCTGCGAGGGGTCATATATGTGAACCACTCACTACGCCTGGCATCTGAGGAAATAGCCCGCGTGACCGAGGCGCATACCTTGGGCTCCGACTGTAGGTGCACAGCCTGTGGTTCAGCGCATGCTCTGTTGACTATCACATAGCATACGATGAGCATATCGAGTACTGGACGTTCATGATCCAACATCCCGCTCACAGTCCCTTGCCTAAGGGTACCCTCAGCGCTGCCAAACAGCTGCTGAAGTTATATATAATGGGTACGCAGTCCTTCATGTGTGCCTCTAATCCGCTAACTTTGCCGTAGATGGTCTGCGACGGAGGACAGAGTCACATTCGCCATTCTCCTTAGAACAAACAAAGCAGATGCTCTAGTTTCTCGAGAGATACGAGAAGGATTGCCCTGATCTGGAGAAAATCCGAACTCCTTACAAGGAGGATCCCGAGTCCTTCGATATTCCTTCTAATACAGCTGCCATGTCAGCCCTCGCATCCTTCGTCATGTTGGCTACCAGTACGTTGACGCTGCCCTCGCTGCCGCGAGTATATTAACCGCCTACGTGTGCTAGTCCGCCATTCCAAATTACATAAGTATGGCCGGCACACGATAGATGAGGATAACTCTCCACCCGAAGAGCATGGAGTGCTCTTTTACCTATTGTCTGTTGGTCTCTTTGGAGTGCCTCGGGAATACCTGCGGCGGATCCGAGCAGCATTGACTCTCATGAAACTCCAAGGCAGAGTCGACGTATGGGCGGAATTCCTGGACTCCTTCGACAAGGAGCTAAAGATACCCATACTAGCGGTACGTGCAAGTATTTCATTGTCAGTTTCCTCTTTGACTCGTATCTAGGCCACTGTGATACTAGCGTTCGCGTCTCTACTCATGTTAATTCCGTTGCTTATTGATGTCGTACTGTAGGGCGTCCTGTTCTTTCCTGGCGGTTGAAGGGATAGGCGATACCCCTTTAACTATGCTCCTTCTTTCGATTACTTTCACAATGGGAAGCCTTATGACCGGCAGCTTCCTCCAATCCCAGGCCGAACGTATGAAATGCTTTGATATCATCGTGGGATTTTGCTGCTCTTACCTCTACGTCGCCAATGAATACTGACAACAAGTTTCATAGAGCTGCGAATCCGCTGCTACCTACGTCTTTGCAGTATTGTTCAGCATCCCCGTCGCGCTGCTGACCTGGGCGACAGGCATCCTTGCCGCAGCGATACTTGCGTATACTGCGCGCGGATTCCAGCCTGAGCCTGGTCGCTCCGCCACGCACTTTGGACCAGAGACCTATGCGCCCGTTTTTGCCTCGAGCTTCACTTTCCTATGCCTCGGCTGCATCATGTTTTTCTACTTCCGCGGAGTGCGTAATCAGTACGTACGGACCTCTGCTCAAGCACAGCCAGTGTAGTTGGGAGAGAGGTCTTTCTGTGGGCACCGGCTCTGTTAATGTGCTTTCAGACTTTCTCGGGACTTCCTAGTGTATCAATGGCTCGGACGGATGCTCGGTGTACTACTTTTAGGGTTGACTTAGCTCCTCATATTTATTTGAAATGTTGTTGCACCTAGGTTTGTTGGGACAGCAGAACCTAACCAAGAGGCTTTCGGAATTACACCTCACATGAAGCATGAATAATTCCATCCGCGCTATATCTCCAGGCGGCCCGTGAGGACGTTCGCACGGATACATAGCTATAGTGTCATTTTGTATGTTTTCATACGCGTGGCTTGGGGGTCATGCGCACGGCCCGAGGGTTTGAGTCCCAGTGCACTTAATAGTACAAGACGAGTCTGTGGCGCAAGGCGTCGGGATTTCAACCCTTCTACCGCCCCAGCGTTTGTTTCAAGTCTGAGGACATCCTCTTAGGTTCCATGTATCTGATGGAATAGAGAATATTAATAACATCGAAAGAACATCCGTCACTCTTACCAGGACTCGGAGCAGAGGAGCTCCCAACACTAGAAAGACGCACTATCACATTATCGTATTACCGATTAACAGCCATAAGTTGAAAGGGATGGAGCCTGTTCCGACATACTTTGCAAAGCAACGGCGAGGCTTGACTGACGGACTTCGGTGAGATCCACTCTTTCAAAATTGCCAGCCGCTATCGCTTGCTCAGCCTGAGCGGGTGCATGGGTGAGCAAAAAGGCGCTGGACTTGTATACCTCAATTCCCTCAATCAAACGGATCCAACATCATCTCTGCCCCATAAAACCGCGAGAAATGGGATCTCGCTTGGACTATAGTGTTGAGGCTGTCCATTATAATGGACATGCACACAAACAGCGCCGATATCAGTTAGTTCCCCCTCTCCCTCATACAGTGTTACACAGGGTTCGCGCCGACACCATGAAGTTCGATTCCGCGCGGACAAACATGGAAGTGGAAGTTCGGGGGATGGCCCTACCCAAATTAAACGCCGCCCAGCATGCGACGAATCCCGCCTCTCCCCAGAGGCAGCTGGCCAGCAGGACTGCCGATGATTATGACGAGCACTGCATCCGCCAACTACCAACTACTGCACGAGATCGGGTACCGGGACCCCGAGTTCGCAGCGGCCCCGCACGAGAGGACGGTGACCAAGCGCAGCCCGCGCTTGGCTGGGACGACGGAGGCCCGGAGGCCCGCAGTCCCGGGGGACCAGGGCGCGCGGACCGCCATCCGTGCGGCGACCGCGAGCTGCCCGCGACCATGTCCAGGCTCGCCGCGCGACGAGGAGGAGCTGAACGCGCAGACGGCGTCCTTCTCGCACGGGCTGGACGAGCCGCAGCGCGCGATCCTCCCTCTCAGGCTGTAGGAAGAGAGCAGCCGCGAGCTGTCGGCGGCCACGCCGTGCTGAGGAATATCGGCGGCACGCCGTTAATTATGTTCGTAGATGCGTCGCTCCTGGGAGAAAAAGGTAGCGACGGAGCTGCTCGCGCGCCCATTCGACACGGGATACGCCCGTCTGGCTGAACAGCGGAAACCGGGCGGTGGATCAGCGGATCCGAGCAGGACGGGGCTGGCCAGCGGTGAGGCTGCAGGGAAATTGAGCTGCATGAAGCTGGAGGCAGAGGCAGTCATATTGCACGTGGCATCCAAGTAAATGAGGAACCGCCTACCCGATTCACGCGTTGCCAGTTGGCATATCAAGGCGATTCCTGATATCGCGTTCGCAATCGTATGTCATTACAGTCCATCATCCCAGCAAGAGAGTACGCATACTCGCCGTATTTTCACGCTTGCGCGTGCCACAGGAAGCCGCGAGGGACTTTCTGTCGTTTCCTACAGAACGCGTGGACGGGGATGGGTTCAGCGTGATTGGACTCTTAACGCAGTTCTTGCAAAGGCGGCAAGGAGCAGACTGGGACGCAAATGACACCTGCGGCCAGGCCACGCGCGGCTGCGAGTCGACGAAAAGAGATAATGGATCATTGCTTTGTCATAGGGATCTGGGAGGGATTGTACAGCGTAGCCCCTCCTGGGGACGCTTGCATCGCCGGGCCGTGCAGTTTAGAAGAGGTCAATGGATTAGGTCGACGAGCAATGCATAACGTGAAGATACAGGCTCAGAGGATCTGACACTGTCGATTTTAATCCTCGCCAGGTCGTCACACCTTGGATGTCTTATATTCAGGTGTCACAGGCCTAGGGACGGTAGCTACATTGATGTCTGCGATGACGCTCACTGTGGGACTATTGTCGGCGTAGACAGTCGTCGGGACCGCCCCTCCCGCGGCTCTGGCTGGGCTTTATGATCGGACGCGCCTGAATGTCGACCCACTCGCGGCCCTATATATATCTGTATGATCAAACCGGACCGTATCTCCCCACGTTCTCACTTGAACTTCATAGCGAAAGATTTTTCCGATCTGTGGACGTCGAATGCCTGGCCGAGAACGTGTTCGTGGGTCCCCAAGACCGACCTATCGCCCGCGAGTCCTCGCTTGTGTGTGTGTGTGTGTCTCTCTCTCTCCTCGCTTGTGTGTCCATCCACCCGTCAGTCGCGACTCGCGAGCCAGTCATCGTCGGTCCTCGCACGCTCGTCGCCTGCGAATCCCATAAAAATTGAGTACGCCGCGATGGAGGAAGTACCCACACGCCGGAGCGACAAGTCACAACATACGGTGGCGGGCGAGTCCAGAGAACGATCGGACATACGTAGCGGATGACGCGGTTTGGGTACCCGCCTGGGACTCAGGTTCGTGGATGTCGGGGGTTCGAATTCTACATCGTAGTGATCAACCTAAGGCATCGTGATATCCCCAAGATATCCCTGCCGACCTTGTCGCCATGGCCAGCATGCCGCGCTCTACGAGTCTACGTACATAGCAGCCACAAATACAAGACGACGTCACCCACCACCCCAGCCCGATCACCGAGGGCACCGCCACACCCTCGAGTCGCATCGATATATCTGCATCCGCGACAAGTACATCTGCGTGGGAACTGACAAGCGATCACTGTCCGAATCCGAGCGTGGCTGAAGTTGGAGGCGCATTTATCACGTCGCGTTCGGGTGCCCCTCGGTCCTGGGACCTGTATGCGAGCAGAGGCGCTGGGTGGGGCGGGGGGTTTTGGGATGGCAACTTGACCTGGATCTCAATTTCACCTGTCACTTGTCGCTGTCAGGCCAAGCTCGATGCAGCTGCAGATCCCATCCTGTCTGAATCATGCGCAGAAAAGACCGGGTGGGGGGGGGGCACGGGAAGCGAAGGAGCATCAGGCGGGATCTGATGCGCCCCTGCCCACCCATCAACGAGCCCGGGGCGCATGTAACTCGTTTAGCGTGCTCCGGTTGGAATATTACTAGCATGTAGGCTAGACGTGTCCATACGCAGCTGTGACAGACGCCACCGACTGGAGATCACGTTGTTCAAGTCTAAGCCCAAGGTGATGAACGAGTCGTAAGCCAGCGCGACGTCGGGATATCTGACATATGCATATCCACTGCAGCGGCGCCCTGTCGGGATGTCACCTTCTTCACGGTGATTTACAAATTGCAGGACGATCTGGCAGAGATCTCGCCCCGCTCTACATACTTTGCACCATCCCACCGCCAGCCCGTCCTCCCTAACGCGTCCTAGCCCCGCGACCCTCGCGACGCCTTACTGGAGTCCCCTCCTTGTATTTCAGTCCGCATTGTATTCAGGACGACACGACACCGCGACGTTCATCCGCATTTGCACGTCCACTTGAAGCAGGAACGGGAGACGAGAAGTTCCCCCGCAACGAAGCGAAGCGAACACACATCTTCGTCGTTCTAGCCGAGCCCCAGGAAATCTAGGAACCGAGCGACGCATTAGATTCGGCGAATTTCAACCGCGCGGCCGACCACGGAGGTACAAGAGGGACAGAGGCGCCTGCGCTGTTCCCAGCATACACACACACATCGCCCCATTCTTCACGGCACTACATCTACGTCAGGGCGCTACCCCCCTGCTGATCCCCCGCAGGCAGCCAGGATTCGAATCTCACCGGGGGCTGGCGATACATCCACACACGCACTGAACGAACGAACGAGCGAACGAGCGAACGATGGTGTCCACGATCGCACCCACCAATACCCACACGACCATGGACGACGCGGACGCCGAGCAGTGGGAGGCGGAGTACGAGCAATCGCCCTGCGCGCCCGCGTGCGCGCCGCCGACGGACACCTCGCCGTACCCCAACCCGCCCGCCACCCCGAGCACCACGTTCCCCTCCATCCCGCCGCCGTCCGCGCCCTTCCCGGAACGCGCGTCCGT